ACCCCAAGAAGAGCACACTTGGAGGAGCTTTGAGGGCTGGGGACAGGTGGTAATCCAGAATTAGAAACCAGGTCTTAAAGGGCTACAAGCAAGATGAGGTCTCAGAGAGAGTGTTTCCTCTGTCACAACCTTCTAAAGACCAACTTAAAAAAACTGTACTATACGTCTATGTGGAATATTGTGCAGCCATTAAAAAGAGGGGCCAGTCAATAAAGTGAGAAAGAAGAAGAGGCAAGGGATGATACTGAGTAAATGAGGAGACAGAAAACACATGCTTTTGGATCATGGTATGCAACATTTACTTTCAAAGAAAAAAATGAAACTTAAGGGAATAAACCAAAAACTTAACAGCCCTAACAAGATGAAATGTTTGCGGCTTAACTGTTCTTTTATCAATTCCCCACACCTTTTGTAGTTTGCCATATTCCTTTCAAATGTTAAACCATATTTCTGAAAAAAATTCTACTTGTGTCCTCGCAGATGTCTTCGGGAAGACAAGAGATAGAGCCCAAGACACGCCCTAGGCTGCAGGGGGCTCCACCGCCCTGCGCCTGACTCAGCAGCACGGGGGCGCCTGGCAGCTGGATCCTGCCCTTCGTGGGTCTTTTCTTTACCTGCCCCCGCCCTGCTGGGCATTCCTGAACGCCCACCAGCAGGCTGCCCTCAGTGGGCCCAGCCCCTGATCATGCTGTCCATAAGCGACCCTCCTGGCAAAGGTTCTCTCTGGGAGTGGAGAGCAAGAGCCCGGAGGGGCTGGCAGCTGCGCGCTCGGGCGCCCGCCCCCACGACCTGGCCCTCCGCTTCCCGCCCAGCAGGCAGCCCACCCCGCGCCGCTGTACCTTTTGCAAGGGATCAGAGCCTTCCTCTCGTCCAGTACCCGCACGCGCTGGTTGAGGCCGTCGTAGGAGAGCAGGGCGCGGCTGTTGCGCCCGCTGCTCTGCTGGTACACGACCTGGCGCCCCTCCCACTGCTGCGGCGCCTGGCACGGGCGCGGCAAGCCCGCCGAGCCCAGGCCGCACAGGCCGCCCAGCGCCCAGACCCACAGGCAGCTTAGCAGCCAGGGGCTCAGGACCCCCCGGGCCAAGCGGAAAGGAGTGCGTCCTGGCATCGCGACTGGACGTCCCTAAAAAGGCAGCCCGTGGCGAAGAGGGCGCTAAGGGGCGCGGGCGCAGAGTGGCTCCCGCGGGCTCTCTCGGCTGTGTGCAGGCAGTTGCGGTCAAGGCGCAGGTGCTTCCTGTCTCCGCGCTGGCCTCTGCAGCTGCCGCGATGTGGACGCGAGGCCCGGGAGCTGGGATCAGGGGCCTGAGAGGCTCCCGTGAATCGCGAGGGAGCTACTCCTGCCTTGGCCGCTGCCTACTGCCGCTTCGGTTTCGCTGCTCACTGCTGCCAACAGGAAGCGCAGTGGCAGTGGTGCCACTAGCACCCTGAAGGGCGCGGTGGTTTAAAGGGGTTGGGGCGCGGGAGGGGGTGTGCTGAGCAGGTGGCCAACCCCTGGGGAGGGGGCCGATTTCAAGACCAAGATTTGGAGAGCAGAGCTGCTGCACTCGCTCAGCTCCACGTACCTTGCCTCGTGGCAAAATTATAGTGTTCTTGTTCCAGGTTAAAAGTAGAACCACAAGTAGGTACCTTTCCAAAGAAATACTAGCTATTCCTTATGGCCGCTTCCCAGCCCCCACTCCCAGAGAAGAGGGAGTGGCGCTTGATTCAAGCTTAGGTCTCAGAGACATTGCTTCAAGGTCACACTGCCATGGGACTGCTCCCCTCCCCTACCACCGGGCAGTCCCCCAAGCCTAGGGGTTTGTGTATCTGGAGATTTAAGGTCTTCAAGAACAAAAGTAATCGGGTTTATGTTTATATAACACTAGGATCTATAACGTGGAATCAAAAGATAAGGCAACTTAAAAAGATCCTTCTCTTCAAGTTTATAACTTTATTTGTGCTTTGTGTCAAGGAGAGGAAGAGTGAGCAGGTGAAACTGAGCGAGAATATTCCTGAAGGAAGGACAAGAGACAATGGACACAGCATTGAGGTTCGACCATAAGACAGAAGAATAATCTGGAGCCAGGTCACTCAAAGTCTTAAAAGCCATTTTAAGCAAGATATCCTTGGGGCCAGCGCTCCCTGGCCTGAAGCGCCAGCATCCCATATGGGTGCCGGTTCTAGTACTGGCTGCTCCACTTCCGATCCAGCTCTCTGCTATGGCCTGGGAAAGCAGTAGAAGATGGCCCAAGTCCTTGGGCCCCTGCACCCACGTGGGAGACCTGGAAGAAGCTCCTGGCTCCTGGCTTTGGATCAGCACAGTTTGGGCTGTTGCAGCCAATTGGGGAGTGAACCAGCAGATGGGAGACCTCTCTCTCTCTCTCTCTCTCTCTCTCTCTCTGCCTCTCCTCTCTCTGTGTAACTCTTTCAAATAAATAAATAAATCTTTTAAAAAGGGGGGGTATCCTTAACTCCGAGGACCTTGAGAGCTGGCCATCAACTAAGCTAGACAGGGGCATCATTAGGGATGTGCCTTAGGAAGCTTGCTCAGGGGTCTGTGGGGAGAATGAGTACAGCCAGACAGAAGGCAAGGAGGTGAAGGAGGAAGCTGTTACTGAAATCCAGGAAAGAGAAACGACTGAGCCAAGGTTGGGGCCATGAGAAGGGAGACGATGGACAGGAATTGGTAATTATAGAGAAGGATTTAGACAGAAGGGGAGGTTTCTGATTTGGGCCACTGGGAATTCAGTCCTGAGTGGGCACAGGCGATAGATTCAGGTTAGGTGTGGCTGACTTTGAAATTACTGTGAGATATTCAGGTGCAAATACCCAGGAGACAGTTGGATAAACACTGACACAAACAAGCAGGGCTTTGGTGTTTGCCATGGCCATGTAGGTGGCCACTGAAGCTAAAAAACTGAACAGAGGTTCCTGGAATGATTTTGTCCCCCTCCCTCCACAAGGGGGAATCGGCCAAAAATTCTCAGCCCTGTGTGTCAGAAGTGTGGACCCTGGGAAAGCCTGGAGCAGAGCGGGAGTGTTGAGAGTGAGAACAGGGCTGACAATGGAGCCCCACAGAGTTCTAGGCATTTAAAGGATGGGTGGAGAAGCAAGCACTCCAGACTGAAAAGGGAATGACAGAGAGAAGATGAGCTTCCTTGAGCTTTGGGAACTAAGTGTACAGCTTGGGGATAATGGGTTAAAAGGTGAAGTAGGGTTTTCTAGAATCGCAGCCTCCCTGGAGACATGAAGAGCAAGGGCAGTGGGCAGAATCTTCTGAGGAATCCCTCCCCTGCTGCCCCCTCTTTCGAAACGCCAGTCTAGACTATCAAGGGGCCTCAGAGCTTCAGCAGGAAGAGCTCTGAACTTCCCACTGCGCTTTCTTAACGGACACATCATCAGAGCCCTCAGGGAAGCCCACCGTGACTTCTCACTTGTGTAGTTAAGCAGATATGGCAGGTTCGAACTGGCTGGAGAAGTCTGACCCTCCCCCAAGTGTGTTCTTCTCAAGCAAGTCAAAGGAAAATGGCAAGTAGCGCACCTCTTTCTCTTGTTCCCCTGGTGGGAGCACAGGCTGAACATCTTCACTCAATGAGGTGTTTAGACTCATTGGATTTTGTTGCTGGGAATGGCTCGAGATGTCACCTAGGCTATTTTCCTTGCTTGATATTCTACTAGCCTGGTTTGTCATTTTTAGAGTTAAGACCTGTTGCATAGGAAACCAGAATTTCTCTCTCTCTCTCTCTATTGGCTGCATCTGGACACCTTAGGCTGCTCCTAAGTAGGACCAAACTCCTAGGGTGAATTTTGAGATTGATTTGTCTCACCTATCCTTTCAATTTACCACCTTTAATTCATATTCCATAGAAAAATAAGACACAGTGTTTAAAGGGGTTAGCTCCATATCTTGCCCATTGCAAATGCCCGATCAATGCCATGTGATTGCTGCTTCTTGAGCTGTTTTAATCGTCAGTCTGTGTCAGCATCAAAACTAAACTAACTTTTTCAGTCTAAGCTTTGGAGAGAGAAATATCTATCTGCATTTCATCCAGACTTTCAATTAAGCCATGTTTCGTAAATATTAACATTCAGAGAACATGTTTTCCATCTTGCTAATACCTTTAGCCAATATTGTATACCTAGAAGCCTTACTCCTGGAAGACTGGTGTATACCTGCAACTAGGTACCCTCCCTTTTCTGTGTATAGCTGAGCCAGAGTTGTTTTTAGTACCTTTTCCTAACACAAATACCATAAAGGAGAAAACAAAACATACATACTTGCTTTCCATGGTTCACAGCTTCTGACTCAACCAAGTAACAATCTCCAAGCACATCAAAAATCAACATTTTAGGCTGCTGGGTCGGAAATCGCTTGACATGAACATGAAGGGGGGAATCTTTTCAGATTGTGGATCCAAAGTTTTCTTAGGTCCCCCACCCCCACCCCCCGCCCTGCCGCCGAGTTCTGCTCGGAACGGGAAGGGAGGTAGGCAGTGAGGGGAAGGCAGGGAGGAAACTCAGCAACCAACAAACATCACCTTGGAGGGGTTCTGTGAATCCCCGGAACATGTACACACCAAGTGCTGTTCTGGAAAAACCTGAACCAAAACTAATGCCTCCGAGCCACCACCGGCACCAACATTACCACGAAAACAAACTGCACACCAGCGGGGCGGGGAGCACGGGGTTATAAACACTGCCCATCAGGTGCCAACATTTGCTGCACTCTCCCGCGGCCCCACAGTGCTGTAGCCCCTCGGCACTGCGCAGGCCCCCTGCTGGAGAGAGTAAGTATGTTTCGGCGTCAGAGGCCAGAGTTCCCTTTTCCCTGCATCCTGGGCAAACTCTATAAAGACCGAAGGAGCAAAGTTCAGCGGCTTTCTTGAAATTCTCTGCCTTGCACCTTCTTGCATCCGGAGTCCAAAACGATTACCAGGGGCTCTTTTTCTTGGTCCGAAGTAAAAGGGCCGGACGGACTTAAAAAAAAAAAAAAAAAAAAAAAAAAGAGGATACTTTGGGGGAACGCAGGATTCCAGCCCTGGGCTGTGGCCCGGAGGAGGAGATGATGTCACCGCTGCTGCACGGAGGGGCCGGGGGTGGAGCAGCCGAGGGGGAGCCCGCGCCGCGCCTGCAGCTGCCAAGGGAGCGTTCGGAACCCACGTCAGGGGAGCCGTCGGGATAAATAGGGTCTCGCAATGGCCGTAGCCGGCTGCGCCACCTTCTGCGGGGTCCCGGACTGGAGCTGCCCCGCGGGTTCGCGTCCTGGAGGCCGAGTGCTGGCGCTGCCGGTGCTCCGTGCGCAGGACGGCGGAGACCCGCGGCCGGACCCTTGGGCTCCGCATTGCTGTCGACTGGAGTTTGGGAGAGAGAGTTCTCCAGCTCTCTAAAAGACTCCCTGCTGGGAGGAAAGCCGGCGAAAGCCTGGGGGCAGCGGGAAGAGAAGGGCCCTTCCTGCCTGTGAGGGTCGCAGCGCGGGAGAGCCCAGCCATGCTCCTCTCCGTCCTGGTGGCGCTGTGCCTGTGGCTGCGCCTGACGCTGGGCGTGCGCGGCGCGCCCTGCGAGGCGGTGCGCATCCCCATGTGCCGGCACATGCCCTGGAACATCACGCGGATGCCCAACCACCTGCACCACAGCACGCAGGAGAACGCCATCCTGGCCATCGAGCAGTACGAGGAGCTGGTGGACGTGAACTGCAGCGCGGTGCTGCGCTTCTTCCTCTGCGCCATGTACGCGCCCATCTGCACCCTGGAGTTCCTGCACGACCCCATCAAGCCGTGCAAGTCGGTGTGCCAGCGCGCGCGCGACGACTGCGAGCCGCTCATGAAGATGTACAACCACAGCTGGCCCGAGAACCTGGCCTGCGAGGAGCTGCCCGTCTACGACCGCGGCGTGTGCATCTCGCCCGAGGCCATCGTCACTGACCTCCCGGAGGGTGAGGCCGGGGGACACGAATGGAGGGAGAGGAACTAACGAGGAGATGCCGGGAGCTGTCGCTGCCCGGTGAGGCCCCAGCGGCCACACCTATGGCTGCCAGTGGGTGGCGTTCAGCCTCCGTCCCGCTTCCGAGGAAGTGGTGAGGGGTCAGGGAAGGCCTTGGTTCTGGGAAAGTCGGGGTTCCCCTCACGAATTTGGGGAGCTGGAGTAAGGGCACCACCGTAGTCCATAAAGAAAATCAAGGGTGGGGGTGTTTTACTTATACAGGGAGCCACTAGGTGAGGTTTTCGTTTATAGTAACACCTGACATAAAAATCAGAGCAAACAGATGTTACTGTATCTGCGAGTACAGGCACAGTACACGAACAAGCGTTGGCTGGCCTTGAAACCGTCCCGCACGCGGGTGTAATGCTCTCTGCGCTTGGTGTTACTTCTCACAAGTAACTCCACGCCAGGGCGCCCTGGAAAATTGTGACCTCAGCCTCATGGTCGCTGACCAGGAGCCAGCTCCTGTGGCAGCTTCTTTCATCTAGTCTCTGTTTCCACGGGCTTCTTTCCTCTTTGGTCGTGCGGCTGCTTTTCTTGGAAGAAGAAGCAGGTTCAAATGCACTTCTTGAAGTGAAACCGAAGAATGTTTTTGCATGCTTTTGTCCAGGCTTTCTGTGACTCACATTTGAAGAGATGGCAGCGTCCTGTGGTGCAGGCTGGGGAGTTATGCCTCAGGGTATTGCCCTCAACAGGCAGCATGAGTGGTTTAGTGAAGGGGCAACTTGAAAGTCCTCTCCAATTCAGAGTTTTAGAAAGAAAAAAAAAACCACATTTATTGCTGAAATTCTATAAATGTTGGCTGTTAAGCTTGGTTTTGGCTTCGTCGCTGAAGACTGTTTCTGCACTGAGCAATGGGAGATGGGGATTTGGATTATTTTGATTTGTTTAAACCGTCAACTTGGAACATTAATGTTTTCCGGTGGCTTTGGGAGAGAGGGTTGTGATCTATCTAGGTTGGCTGTGTGTACCAGCCAAGTTCAAGAAATGTGCACTCACATCAACTTACATTTGGATGGGCAGAGTCTCCCACAAGACTTAATAATCACACACCATCTTTATTATCTGGTACTATTCTTTGCTGATGCTATGGTAATGTATGTCTTGAGCTGGTTCCTTATTCCCTCTGGGTGTTCAGATCCAGCCACCGATCACAGGATCACAGGGATCACACCGTGTGGTCCTGTTTGTCTTGCAGATGTTAAGTGGATAGACATCACTCCCGACATGATGGTCCAGGAACGGCCTCTTGATGTTGACTGCAAACGCCTGAGCCCTGGTAAGTCATTCCTTCCTCCCGGCTGCCTCTCCTTCACCTCCCCAGTTACTTCTGTTCCCTTTTCTAACTTTTGGTCTCGCTTTGCCTTTTTTTTTTTTTTTAGATCGATGCAAGTGCAAAAAAGTGAAGCCAACTTTGGCAACATATTTGAGCAGGAACTACAGCTACGGTAAGTCAGCTGGTAGAGCGATTGCTTCTGAGACGTGGCCTGGGGCCAAACCAGAACGGCAGGAGTGCTGTCTCTGCTCCAGCCGGACTGCTGGTCCCAAAGCAAAGCAAAGCAGAGGGCTAGTGATTGTTCTAGTCAGTGATACGGGTTCTAGGTGGCACAATAACAGGACAGGTAAGGAGACAGGTAAGGAGAAGTAAATTACCTAGGGGGTAATCAGATTAGATTACACGTTTAACGCCTTGATCTTGATTGTCTTGGTGGGAAGTGCAACTCAGCCAGATGGCCCACCCCAGGTTCTCTTCCTGTGGTTCCTCTGCGGCAAGGCTGAGAATGATCCCTGAATTTCATTATCTGAGGCCCAGGAACTTCGGGCCTAGAGACCCAGAGAATTGAGATCTGCCCGTGTATCCTTTTACAACTACAAATATCTAGTGTCTTAAAGAAATTATGGGGCTACATGGTAATCACCAAATCCCATGGCTACAGAACCAAAATAGTTTAAATGCCCTCCTCTCCCTTACTTGAAGGAACCATTTAACATTGTCTTCAAAGAATAAGTCAACCATGCTATTTTAAAATAATTTCAGTTCTCCTTTTCATAATTTGAGAGTTAAACTGAATAAAACTATAGGTTTCTAAAATGTTTATTGGGGTTATTTTATATTCTATTTCTTTTCTTCAATTATTTCTGCTAAAATAACAGAACACTGTTCTGTTTTGGAAAAATGTTGAGTTCATGTGCTTAGTTTTCATTTTAAAACTGAAATTTTATCCCACTAAGAAACTGCAGATTATGTGCTGAATGTGAAGTAGGAATATCACAGTGATGTAAAAATTTGAAAGAATAACTCCTAATTTAAGCTTTCAGATTTGAAAAATATACAGAGTCAGTGTAGGTAATTCAACAAAATAATAAATGCATTATCTTTTTCAGTACTTTTTTTTTAAAACCTGTTCTGTGGAGATATTGTCTTAATCTGTTCTGTTGGATTCCTTGCAAGATCCAACCTTGGGTACCAATCAGTTTCACTGTCCTGCTGTCCCCTGGGGTGGCATGACCTCGGAACTACCTTGATGATGAAGTCATTCTCTGTTCAACTCCTCTGGCTCCTTCATAAGCCAGCTTGCTGGGATGGGATCCAAGACAGACCCATATTAGGCTCAGTACAACTCCGTGGGAGGCCGCAGTACCAAGGGGCCAAGAAGTCAGGATTGAAAAGTAGGTCAGAGATAGCAACACTCCTGGCCATCTGAAATAATAATTCAACATCTCCTCACCACGGGCGTTACTCTGTCAGTCTGTGAAATGAAAGGATCGAGGATGTTAATCCTCAGAGACTCATTCCAGTTCTTAAATGTTATGACTCCAATAACTTTGTCTGTAAGCTAGAAGAAGTGCGGGCTCCGCATGGGGGCTTTTGGATCTAATAATGTATGATCCTCACTTGCAGACATCACAAGGGGCGGGGTATAAACACTGGAATGTGTGTGTGACATCTTCACCGACATGGAGAGCCCAGGCTAAAGCCTGATTCTCAATTTGCTTTTTGTCTTGCCTCGTGATTCAGAACTTTTAAGACAACATTGACGATATGGGATGCCTTACCTAGACTGTGTAGACATCATACCTGCATTTTTCCTGCTTGGGCGTGAGCATGACTGCAGGAGTTATTCTTTAAGAAAGCCTGGCAGTTGGTACAAATACACCATCCCTGGTTTTGCCCTAAATGTCTCAACAGCACTTATATAAATTTTTAAATTGCAGTTATTCATGCCAAAATAAAAGCTGTGCAGAGGAGCGGCTGCAACGAAGTGACGACAGTGGTGGATGTGAAGGAGATCTTCAAGTCCTCGTCACCCATCCCTCGAACTCAAGTCCCACTCATTACAAATTCCTCCTGCCAGTGTCCCCACATCCTGCCGCATCAGGATGTCCTCATCATGTGCTACGAGTGGCGCTCAAGGTGGGCACCGTGGGGCGGCAGGAGGTACACACTCCATACACAGAGCAGCTCTCAGTGAGCAGTCCTGGTTAAGGGGACAGTGACAAAATGGTACCAGTAGTGCTTTACGATAAAGCAGTTTTAATAATTTGGAATTTAATGACGTTGGAATGCCATATATCCTAAATGTCAATGAAATGCTCACAAAATGAAGGTAAAACAGATACACGAGTATTTGACTGGAATCTTGAAAAATCAATTTCAGAATTCACTAAGTGATTTCTAAAATGTAAAGGTAAGTGAATTCCTTTGAGAAAGAACAATTATTCTCAAATCCTTCAGACACCTTAGGCAAATACTGAATTTCCCAAGGCACCCTTAGTGACTTACAGATCAAGTAAGTCATCGTTTGAGACTACGTTTCCACATGTTTCCCCTACTCTCTTCACATTACCTGTTTGAGACAGCATTGTCCACCCTTCAAGGTGGCTCCTCACAAGTAAAGTATGAACAAATACATGGATGTTACACACATCACACATACACATGTATATCTCTAGCTGGGTGTGTGAGCCATTGTATGCCCCTTCCCATGACATCTTCTCACATACGCATATGTTCCTTGTAACATAGACAAACTCTTCAGGCTGCTTCCGGTTTGAGTCCCATAACTTATGCCATAGACTTCTCCGGAGAACTAACTCATTCACTTTTATCCAAGTCATGCTCTTTTCTCTCATCTGTTTCTTCTCCATGCAGCTCAAGCCTCTACTCCTCCAAAAGGAAACAAAGACATCTTTTGTAACTGGTCTCACTTAAGTAATTTCTTGTGCTACATTCCATCAATACTTGTTTAGTTCCTCTTGCCATGTATAATGCTTTGCATTCATGACTTAAAGCCATTCTTCTACTTAAAATTTGTTTCTCCAAAAAAGCAATCAATGCTTCTGGGCTTCTTTCTGCAGATCGCATCGCTAGACGTTAGCAAAAGGGAGAGTTTAACAGTAGGGAAATGGCTAAATATGTCATGGATATCCATAGTTGCAACATTATATTATTTCAAACTAATTTTTGAGTTTGTGGGACTATATCAGCAACTGTATACAATGTAACTATAAAAGGAAACATGCAGTGTGGTCCAAATATATAGTGTGATCTAATATACATAAATATATATATATATGGGAGAATGGGAGAAATTATTAACAAAATATAAATGAATGACATGGAAATTTTGAGAATAAGTTATTGAAGAACTTTAAATTGTTTTCTGTACTTTAAAACTTCATATTTACATAACCAAAAGATGCTTATTCAGATACTTCACTCTTTTTTTTTTTTCAGAATGATGCTTCTTGAAAATTGCTTGGTTGAAAAGTGGAGAGATCAACTTAGTAAAAGATCCATAGTAAGTATCATTAACAAAAAAGGTGCATATGTATATAAATGAAGATAAAAAATTCTATGGGATTTGTGAATTCTTCACATTCTCTCATATCCAAGTTTTCATAGGAACTAGGAATAGCAACAATATTTCTCTTTGGAGTAGATAAGTGTACAACTATTCTTACTTGGAATTTTAAAACAGAAATCTACTATTTAATTTTCAAAAGTTATGTAGTTGTATTCAGTACTAGTGTACTGTATTTCTAAATCAAAATATTTTTTGTTTCCTTGTTGTTATATTTAATTGTTTTAGTGAGCAGAGTGAACCTTAAGTAGAATTAATGTTCACTGAGATTAAAATCAACATATGCATCTATTTGTGGGACTGCAAATGCCTGTCTCTAAAACTGACATATTACTGTACACAGCAGGTTCTTTCCATGTATTTAACACAATTTAAGACTTTAAGTGCAAAACTTACTTTGTGGTTATATGTGATTTTAGTGGTAACATCATATTGGTAATTCAGAGCTGAATTAAAATTAATTTTTTGCTAAAAATGTGAAATCCGCCTGAAAACATATTTTCAGGAGAATTTGTGTTTTCCACTGCTACCTTCGTTTTCTAGAATAAAATCTCTTGGGCAAGGCAATAGTATGTCTTAAGGATTGACTTACTGAGAATGCAGTCACAGCGCAGCCTGCCCACCCTGTGCACTTCTGAATAACGACAGAACCCTGCCGTGTTACAGCTGAGCTAACTCCTGAGCTGCCGAAGAGCATGCCTAGTGGTACCAGACAGGAAGTGCCAGCAGGCTGTGTTATTTGGTTTCTAAGACCACAGTAAAGTTAGAAGCTTGAATGGAGAAGGCACGTGCATTCCAAGGATCCAAGACTGATTAAGGGAACAGAGGCTTTAGGAAACAGAGCTGTTGGAGCTGTTCAGCAAACATCCCAACATATGCCAATACGAATTGGAAAATATCACCAAATGATAGCAACATGCAGTAACGAGTTTACTGGGTTTTAGAGTACAATAGAATTGGGCCTAGGAGGGTAGAAGCAGTGTTTTTCTTTCTGTTGAACTTCTGCTGCCTAGAACTGTGCCTGGCCTAAGGTTTTGCTCAAATATTTGCTGAGTGAAATACTAGCAGAGACGTGCCAACATGCAGAGCCGTATCTATTCAAGTAGGCTCGATTTTTCAACTGTTTCTTAATGAGCTTTTTATAGAGTAAATCTTCTGCTGTCAAGGCAACTTGATTATCCAGAATGACTCATTTCCCAGTGGTCTGCATCGTTGGCCTTTGAACACATTACGCTGGTCCCTGACCCCCACATTTCATTTCTTGTCTCTTGTTCTAAAAAGTACAATATAATAAGATATTTTGAGGGAGGGAACAGTGTTCATATACTTTAACCATATTGTTATAGTTGGTCTATATTGTTATGTTATCTTGTTAATCATGTACTGTCCCTTATTTGGAAACTAATTTTATCATAGGTTTGTATGTTGCGGGGGGGGGATGAAATCCTGTCTTTTGCAACAAAGTGGATGCTTCTGGAAACCATCATACTTAGTGAAATGAGCCAATCCCCAAAAGAGATACCATATGTTTCCCATGATCTGTGGCAACTAATAGAGTATCTAAAATGTAATGTATTGGAATGAAATTGATATTTTGAGATTCGATGATTGTTGAGTAACTGTTTTTTTCTTCATACTATTTGCTGAACTTTTAGTGTAGGGTTAATCTTATGAGCATAAAGTAAACTGAAAACAGATCTTTGTAGAAATTAGGAGTGGAAAAAGGAGAGGGAGGAGGAAGAAGGGTGGGAGCATGGACAGGAGGGAGGTAGGGTGGGAGATATCACTATATTCCTAAATCTGCATATATCAAGTACATGAAATTTGTATACCTTAAATAAGATTTAAAAAAACTTAGTGTATCTAGGATTTGGGACTATTGATGGTTTCAGGGACCCACAGGGGATCTTAGAAAATGTATCTCCCTCATTACTAACTATTAGTAATTATTGTAACACATATAGTTGAGCTCTGTCTTCCTTTGGATTTGGAAAAATTTGATGAACACACCTGTGACAAGAAATCCCTGACTTTCTAGTGAGGCTGGGTAAATTTCAGCTGTTAGCCATTTCAAGGATTTTAGAAGGATTTCTTGTCTGGCAATGGTGCATGGTAGAGCTGGTGGTCAAAAATGCACAGGAGGGTCTTGGGTTCTGGAGTTTCGATGAGTGAATTTGAATCCTGACTCTAACACTTTCCACCTGTGTGACCCTCTGCACATAACCTCTGTGTGCTTACTGTCTAGTCATGACAATTGTGTCTAACTAGAAAGTTGTGGTGAATTTCAATGCAATGAACATGTGTCAAGACTTTATCATATACTGAGCACTTTCCAAATCACCTAATACATTATGAGAGCTCAAAAGAGCGTTGCTTTTAAAATTGCTATTATCACGACTAGTCTATAATAGTAAACAATTGCACTGATATAAAAAATTGCACTAGGGTAGACATTTGGCCCAGTGGTTAACACACTTGTAAGATACTCGCTTCCCATGGCAGGGAAAATTCCAGGTTCTATTCCTGGGTCTGGCTCCTGACTCCAGTTTCCTGCCTTTGCAGACCCTAGGAAGAAGCAGGTGACAGCTCAGGCAGTTGGGTGCCTGCCACCCATGTGCAAGACTTGGATTGAGTCCTTAGTTCTTGGCTTCAGCCAGGTCCAGTCCTGTCCACTCTGGGTATCTGGGGAGTGAACCAGTAGATAAGAGCTCACTGTCTCTCTATTTCTCCATCTCTCAAATAATAAATAAATGCACTGATAAATTCTGTTATTGGGTTAACAGAATAAAGGGGTGAGATGTATTTGACACTCATGGGTACAAATTGTCTCCCAGCAGTGGGAAGAGAGGCTGCAGGAACAGCGGAAAACAACCCAGGACAAGAAGCCAACCGCCGGGCGCACCAGCCGTAGTAATCCCGTGAAACCCAAGGGAAAGCCAGCAGCTCCCAAACCAGCCAGCACCAAGAAGAACATTAAAACGCGGAGCGCTCAAAAGAGAACAAACCCCAAACGAGCGTGAGCCGACTGCTCTCCAGAATGGTGACTTCCTTCCGGGAGGAGCCCGGGCACTGCCTGGCACGGCCTGTGTAAGGCACACACCTCTAGCCCTAACGACTCACTGCAGCGCTCTTCGTAGACACATCTTGCAGCATTTTTCTTAACCTTGCGCTTCGCCTTTTCTCTTTAAGCCTCCACAGAGAGACGTAGAAGCCATCGTGGTGGGTTTGCCTTTGGATATGGAAGATGAAGTGAAGCTGGTGGCAAATGCTTACGGCCTTCTGAGTGGCCTGAGTGTGTCCTCTGCATGACATTTATGTGGGGGAGAGATGCTGCCATTCCTACAGTGTGGCCTCAGTGTGTACAGTGTGAAATGAATGCCATGGTGCAAACCAAACACATAATTTTTAATAGTATTTTTATTTCCATTGATTTCCGTTAAGATGTTAGCAATATCTTAAAATGTGATTGAAGATGCAATGCTTCTAAGGAAGAAAGAAGAGGAATTCATGTTTAAAAGATCTTTATGTTTGTTGTCTGCAGGAATAGCTTTGTGATAAAAGAGGATTTTTGAAAAATTTAGGGGAGTAGAATGTGGAAAACTGCAATGTGTATGTGTTTTCTTTACTTTTTTTTTTGTTTTACAAAGATGACTTTCTGCTCTACTTTTAGCTAGAAACTCTAAAAACTAAAATAACAATAATAATACATAAATAAAAAGGAGAAGCAGACAGACCATATCTGGATTCTTGTTTTTTTGGTCCTTGTGCCATGGTGAAGGTGATCTGATTTCATGATCAATTTCTTCTTGTCAGTACACTCCAAGTAGCATCAGGAACTGTGGGTTTATTCATCCATTGGTCAATTTTCATGTATTTTACATCCAAAACAGGAAAGGTGTGGCACTCAGCTCACTTCCTAGGGCATCCTGGAGTCCTGATCGCCACACCTGAGAGAGTGTTCTCTGTGCTGATTGCTGGTGCCCATGGAGTACTTGTGGGGCTGTGGTAGGAGGGCTGGGCCACCAAGGCTGCTTCTTAGCCAGTTCTGATGTAACCATCAGCTCTGCTCCTTAGGAGGGAGACTGAGGCCGCCTGTCCATCAACTGTGCATAGAGGTAGCAGAGTGCTCCAGAAAGCTGAAGACTAACTTCTCTTTAGATACGCAGTCATCCCTACCTCTCAGAGGAGGGATAACTTACATGCTGCCTTCATGGAAGATAACGAAACACGTGATTTAATATCGTCTCTGCAGTCACTGTACACAGAGGTGGAGAAGGAGTGGAGAAATCCGACTAATGAGGATGCTCTTATGTGCACTCCCTTCTTCTGAATGCTCTGCTCTGCCTGCATTGCTACCCTAGCGTGGCATCAGTCTTCACTAGGGGTATCATAAAAATAGTCAGTGTGTGATCCTGCTGTACAGAAGGCCCAAAACCCTTGGTCCATAAGAGATGTCAGAAGGATACTTCACATAGTATCCAAACTCAATGATCTTGGACAAACTAATAAAGGCACCCGTGGCCTGTTTACCTCCTTAGCACAGTAGGAATTCTTGGGGACACATGGAGTGCAAAAGGAAATGCTCCATGGGAAAGCAGGGAAAACATGTTTAAAAAAAAAGTTTAAGTGCAAAAATGATGATGATGATAAGAAGTTGGAGATAACTTTACGAATTTAAGCAATGTTTACATTGAAGTTTTACCATAAATTATATAATGGCTATTACACTCAAACTTTCCTAAATGAGGTTCATTTTTCACTTTGATTATCAGTGAAAGATTAACCAAAACACTGTTTTATTATTTGTTGTGAAGAAGCTGAAAATGAGCATTAGCACCCACTAAGGTTTGACAAGTACTGGAGTGGCCTCTGTGTGAGCACCAATAATTTTTTTCTCAAATGTTTCCTTTACATCAGTATATGTGAGAGGTTATAAATACAAATATCTGGAGGAGAGAGTTTAAGTTCTATCTTTGAAAAGGTAACTATTTAAGAGTCAGGATGCTTTGATTAAAAATAAAATATTTTCCAATATTTTATCAAGTAATTTTATAATTTTGTACAACTGGAGGCATTTCTTGAAAAAAAAAAACACTTTTTGGGCTCTTGACAACTGCAAGAATATATTCCTTATTAGGTATTCAATAAATATGCAAAATAACAAAGTATTGAATTAAATCTTATCTTTTCCCACTCACAGCTACACAGAAATCATCACTCATATTTTGGCATATAATTGTCCAGGAGCTTTCTATGCATTTATATCATGACTTGAAAAAGTGAAAGTAGGAGCCTGTTATACACACTGTTTCATATCCTGCTTCCTTCCTTTGATTTTTTTAATTGAGATTAGTTTCACAGAAAGTGGGTACCACCTCATTTGTAATGATTGTATTATAGTCCATGTTGTACATTACTCAACAAACCCTTATGCTATTGGGAATGTGGTTAGTTTCTCAACTGAACATGCTGAATAACTGAATAAGTATTTGGTAGCTAGATACGTGTGCACATTTTTAATTAGTCCCTTGAGATACATTTAAGTAGCATTGTTGGAGGAAAGGTTATGCTGCTTAAGGAAGACTTCTGATCATATTATCAATCATGATCTAAAATTCTTAGAACATAGATGAGTGAAAGTGTTGACTTTCCAATCCCTCATTAAGATTTCTTTTTTCTCTCCATATTTTAAGAATCAATTTAACCTGCAAATGAAGGCTACTGCTCTGGTTTGTCTTTGGCTTGTGCCTCAGGGGTTCATGTTCTGTAGGCTTGGTCCCTAGTATGCAGTATTGAGGTGGTGAAAAGTCTAGAGGTGTGGCTTACTAGGTGGTGGTTAGTTATTGGGGTTGCCACTATCTGAAGGATTAATGTAGTTCTCTGGGAACTCAGTTAGGTTGTGCAAGGCCTGGTTGTTATAAAAACAGCAAGGGTGCCCTCCTACCTACTTGATGGCTTCCAATCTCGCCACGTAATTTCGCCATCTTGCACTCATTCACATCACGATACCATCCTCCATCAGGGTCTCAACACAGGCTGGACCAATGGGTCACCTGATATTAGACAGTTTCCAAAATGATGAGCTAAATAAATCTTTTCTCCTTACAAATGATATAGTGTCAGTTAATCTGTGATAGTAACAGAAAATGGACTAATATAGCTATCTTGGTTGAACCTTCCCCCTTCATCTGTGATCCATCAGCTGGCAACAGTATCAATAGTGCCCATGCCTCAGGAAACTGAAGAATGAAGGACTGATCACCTCAAATGGGGATAGTCAATGGTTGGCTGGCTGAATGGATGGATGGATGGATGGAGGAAGATAGATAAATATTTACATAGATACAGTTGTTGATAGATTAATAGATGATGGATGGATGGATGGATGGATAGATAGATAGACAGACAGACATTTCTTAACTGTTGCAAAAAACCTTGGCAACTTCTGCTATTTTAAAGTGAATCAAATTTAATAATATAACTGGCTAACAAGAAAAACTGAAGAATTAGAGTGTAGCAGAAATGCCAGTAGACTTTCTTCTTGGCCAGTCTCCTTTTAAGATATGTGAAAACTTATATAAAGGACCTCCATTCTTCCTTTTAAGTTCTAAACCAATACAGTGTGACAACAGTTTTTGTCTCTTGGGGTGCCTGTAGGGTTTTCTGTTGATAAAATCCTTATCATAAAATCCACTGATTTGTACTAGCTTGAGAGAGTTCATGTTGGAGGACCCAGTCCCTTAATAGAAAAGAATGCCACAGTTTACTAGAAGTCTTTACCCACTATGACTACCAATTTTAAGTTTTAAAAGCAAAAAATGTTGTTTGGATGCATGGAATGCAAAAGTTGATGGATCATAATCTGCCTTGCTGGAAAAAGGTGTGAGGATTTGTCTGCTGTCCTGTCCTTGTTGAGAGAAACATCGAGGCACCCAGGATTCCAGAATTGTACTTCTCCAGAACAAGGCACACTGATTTTTCAGTAACCTAAGTCTGGGATATTAGAGAAAAAATTCATTTATTACCACAGAAAGAGCACTAAAAAAATTCTGCTTCTGGCTAAACAGTCTGATACATGGTAATATTGACCGTTGTTCGGTAGTGGGACTATACTTTCTCCCTCACATCTTACCCTGAAAGATGTGCTATTGGACACATGTTTGCCAATCAAACATGTCAGTAGATTGTTAAACTTTGTGACTTAACTGATAGAAAATATGCTGTGTTTTCTAGATCATTAGAGTATCCAGGTTAGTGTATCTACTTTAATTTAATCTCAACTTTAGATAGGATAGCAATGAGATATTGTCCCCTTTATATTCAAACAGAAACAAGCAAATGAGAATGAGAGAGAGAGAGGGGAGAGAGGAAAAAAAATCAAGAAAACAAAAAAAAATAGAAAAAAGAAAAAGAGCACACTCAAAATGTCAAAGTAGCTAACCAAAATGTCAATGTGTGAATGCTTCCAAACTGTGTTCTGTTTTTGGTGTATGAATTTACAACATAGCATGAGAATCTTTCTGTGTAAAGACATTCAATGTCATGTTTATTTTTTACAGATGCATAGCATGGTTATATCCAGAACTTTATTTTACCAATAATTCTTGTGTGACTGGCATTTTAAAGGTGGTTTCTAAGGTATTCCAGGATAGGGCAGATTTTTTTTGTGACACAAATAATTTTCCACTATTACTGAATTCTCAAGATCAGAAGGAAAAATGAGCACAAAAGAATGCAAGACATAAATATTTTCTGTGTTTTGTCTAATGATCATGCATTATTTTTGAAATCACAAGGTACTATGAGAATATTATCAAGAGAGATATGGATTGTGGTATAGTTTATAGTCGTGTAGATATGCAAATTTGAAACTACTCCCATGAAATTAGATTAGTCTGGATCCTGGATCCTCCAAGAGGCAGGTGCCAAGAGAGAAGTGAATGTGCAAGGATTTATTAGAGAAGAAATCTTGTGATAAGAAAGGGAATGGGTAGCACTGGGAGATTTCTTAGAACACGATTCGTGACTAACCTGAAGATAGGAGAAAGTGAAGAACAAAGGAAGGTTGTATGGAAGTATTCTGTGGAAGATGTTTAAGGGAGCTTTGGTAAAGCTACTGGAGTGTCTTGAAACAGAATCACCCACCAGTAAGTCCCTCATTTCCCAGAGGCAGTTCTGCCTGACATATTCTATAGTGCTCAGTCACTAGCTGGGAGCAACCCATGAGTAACATGGTCTTGGTGCAAAGGCGACAATGGGTTTCAGAGTTCAGCAGCTGGAACTCTGATCCATTATGGTCTCTGCAGTCGAACATCTAAGATTTGCATTCTTGTGGTCAAGATAATCATATAAATATTACAATTAACTGCTGTATTTCTCAGTTCAATCTATAAAGTGTTGGTGTCAGTCAACAAATGCCTATCAATTTCTGTAACTGGCATCAGTACATTTTGGAACTCCAAAACCTCTAAGAATTTTGTGTCTTTTCTATTTCAAATTTATTAAGAGAGAATATGCTGATCACAGCTTCATTTCTTACATTATTTAGTGTGCTACTTAAGAAAAGCCTTAAGATGAGAAGAAATATCTTTAATGAGATAACTTGTATCAATAACAAAGTCTTTCCTGTGTAATTTTGGCTTTAAATATTCAGACAGCATAAACATAGATCTATTTAGTGTGATGTGTGAAAATAATTTTATAACTAGATAATCCTAAAATATACACCTGAACT